ACAAACCCCAAATAATTTATATTTAAAAACTTCCAACAGTTTAAAGAGCTTTCAACTAGATATATAGATTAATGGGTATCATCAAGTCCATCAATTGCGCACTGCTGCTCGTATGTTGCACATAATAACTTGAATTAGACATCAATTGAAGTTAAACTCTGTAGTTCTTCGTCACACTGGCTTTAGTACTGGGTCAATTGGCCTTTGGTAACCGATATCTGGGCTAAGTTCTGTTAAACAAGCTATCAATCGCATTCATGCATTTAATAACAAAATAAATATCTGGCATTATTATGTTTACATTTGCGCTCATGGCATGGATTTCGTTGTGCGAAAATATTGCAAAAACAAAACAAAACATAACCTGGGCCATATCGCAACTGGCTGCAATCGATCACAGCTCGAGCTGGAGCTGAGTCACCCGTTTTCGCGTTTTTGCGGGTGAATTGCGTGTGCTCGGCGTGAAAATGGCAGATAATGACAGCAACTGTTGCGGATTGTGTAAGATTTGTCTGTCACAAAAACAAGAAAAAACACAAAACGAGTAAAGTAAAGTAGAAAAAGGTTATCTGCGTTAAGGCAACAATTAAATACCCTCATAGATAGACACGGTAAATGCAACTTTATCAGAGCTTATCAAAAAGTCAACATTGGCTAATCAAATTAACTTAATTAATTATATTAAAGTATATCAAATGAAGTGTATTATAAATTGCTTTTTAACGATATTTTAATGACTGATTGTTAGTCTTATAGAGTAAAAGGGAAAGCAGAAACAGACACAAATTAGGCATTTAATTTAAGACGCAACAAATAGGTTCACGTATTCATAATACCCTTTGCAAGGGCATGCCAAAGCTGATAAAAATTATGACAACATGGATTTTAAAGTGTCGCGAACTCAATTGGTTCGACTAGAGACTCGCTTTGTATCTGCGGCTGATACACATAGCTTATGTCATCCGAGTTTCACAGTTGGCTTTGTTGCAACAAATCGCAGCCCACAAATTCCATAGAATCGAACAGCAATTGTTTTTGTTTAAACAAATGCTAGAATTACAATATCTGGAATTGTGTACTTTTGCCGGAGCATATTTTTTTTAAATAATTGCAGTCACATTTTTATACCCTGAACCCATTAAAAATGGGTATAAGGGTATATTGTATTTGTGCAAAGTCTAAATGTATGTAACAGGCAGAAGGAAGCATCTCCGACCCCATAAAGTATATATATTCTTGATCAGCATCAATAGCCGAGTCGATCTAGCCATGCCCGTCTGTCTGTCCGTCCGTCGTTCTGTCCGTCCGCCCGTATGTATGAACGCAAGGATCTCAGAACCTATAAGAGCTAGAGACTTGAAATTGATGTAGATGCTCCTAGTTCCCGCGCAGATCGAGTTTGTTTCCGATAATCGATAACTTACTCCGTTTCCAAGCAAACGATAAAAATCGATATCGATATCATGTTTTTTGGGCAATTTTGGTAAATAATAAGAGCTAGAGTCACCAAACTTGACATATAGCTTCTAAAATAGAATATATACATATATGCATTTGATGTTGGAAGAAGAGGGTTCAGGGTATCCCCTAGTCGAGCGCTCCCGACTAGAACCTCTTATTTGTTTCTTTTGATTAAAGGGCAAAATATTCGATTTAATTTTCAAAAAATGGGCAACATGCCAAAAAGATAAAATAAATGCTTCATGTGCGGCCTTGTGCCCAAATTGATAATGTTTACGCACGCCTGATTAGATGTTCAGGTTCAGTTTATATATGTACATATTTGAAGGAGCTCTACTAGATCATCTAACCAATGGGAAAGTAGGGAAATGGTCACTATTTTTCCAACAAATATGTCGATTTCTAATAATATTTTCCAATTGAAAATATATGCAAGTGCATTTATCTCCATATGCAGAGCTAATCAAAGATTCGCCCCACTGTGCAACCGTTCATTTTGTTCTTTTATGGGTGTGTTTGTGTTTGTATGTATGTGTGTGTGTGTTTGTTTGTCATGACTAGTGCAATAAATATTTGCGCTAAAGCCGTGGCCAAAACTCGCCAAATAGCTTCATTAAAAATTCAAATTAAAAGCAAAAAAGCGAAAAAGAGACAAGCAACAAGCTGAAAGCAACAACAATAACAACAGCAAGCTTATGAATACCCACTCTCTTGTTATTGTTGTTGTTGCAGCTGCTGTGCTGCTGCTTTTTGTCAACTGCGACGTTGACTGCGACTGCGACTGCAACGTCGACGGCGGCTTTATTCAATTTGCTCACCTTTTTCGGCCGGCGATGGCGGCGGCTTGCCAAGGCAGAACTTTGTGTTTGACTCATCGATGGCAGCGCCAAGTCCTACAAAGCTCGACGCATGCTGCTGCTGCTGCTGCTGAAGTCGCGGCGAGAGTGTGCTTGGCGTCGCTGCTGCTGCCGCTGCCGCTGCCTCCTTGTCGTTTATGATCTCGGCAATCTTCTTGATGTTCTCGGGCGTCGTGTCGGCTTTCTCGCGCCCATCCAAGCTGTTGTTGTCGTCCTCTTCGTAGGCACGGTTATTGTGGTTGTTGTTGTTGTGGCTGGACATTTGCTTGTTGAGCTGCACCACAGCAGCTGCGCCGACTGCAGATGCTGGCGTGGCGGCTGCTGCTGGCGGTTCGCCTCCTGCAGTTGTTGTTGTTGTTGTAGTTGTGGCTGCCGCCGTTGCCGTTGTGTCATTTGCGTATGATGTCATATTAACACGGATTTGGGGGTTCTAGTTTGTGGCCTCGGACTACACCTATTTATTCCACTCTCTTTCATTCACTTTTTAATTAGTTAATTAACGAGCACGTCATTTTGGCCAACCGTGCTGCTCATTCGACTACTATAATATCTACTACTATTTTGTTGCTACGCTTTTCACTGCTGCCGCTAGCGTTTCTGCGTACGCAAATTCCTGCACGCCTACGTCGAATAAAAGAAATGTTAAAAATTACATAAAGAAATCAAGAACACACGCACAAAACAGACACAGCAATACATACACACACACGCACACACACAAACACATTTGCGCACACATACAAACGCACACAGAACCGTCTAGTGTTAATGACCATACGACGACATATTCAATTGTTCTGGCCGCGCTCTCAGTTGCCGCTGCTGCTGGTGCCTTTGGATTTCTGATTGGACAAGCATGCATGGAATACAATTTCGAGCACTTCCACTTCTACACGTAAAAATAGCCAAGTCAGTCGCCGTTTTGCCTTTTCAAGGTTGCTTTTGTTGTTAATCGAATTTTAGCCATTCCGTTGTTGTATTTTTATATTTTTACATTGAACATTTTTGGAAACAGCAGCCGACACACACACACACACATACACACTCACACAAAAGCATACAACCAAACACACACACATTTACGTTCAAGGGCGCCGTCCGCTGAGACTGGTTCACTGCACTTGCGCTTGCACTTGCACTTGCATTTGCTGTTCACTTTTCGTAGTCACTTTTGATAATGAACTCTTTCTTTACATATCTTTATCTGTGTTCTCACTGTTTCTTATTATAATTTCTTAACACGCGCTGCCGTTTGCTCCTAGCCGTACGCAATCCAAACGCTTACTCACGCCAGTTCAGACACAGTTAAGACTGAAAGAGTCGATAGTCGCCAGTGTGTTTTGGCCAAAAGTGACGTATGGCAACGGGTTGTGAGAGAGACAGAGAGTGAACGAACACAACAAAACAGCTGCTGCGCGCTCACAAAACCGGAGTTGCCGTTGTAGAGAGACCCGCGCCGGGTTGTCGAGTTTCAACACATATGTGTATGGTTCACGGAACTAGTGAAAAGTAGCAGTTCGAAAGCATTTGTATGATGCATGCCTGTTCGAATAAAGAAATCCCTTGAGTAAATATTGAAAAGTGCTTGTCCGTAAATTTAACCGTAAACTTGGTGGCTTTCTTATTTACTATTCACAAATTAAAAGCAATATGTGTAGATCTTAAGAACGGTTTTTAAATGAAGCATTCAAGTGTTTTGATATGTGGCAACGCTCTGCGCATAACGGCGCGCACACAATTTGTTTGCTTTCGCTTTCGCTCTCGTTCTGGCTCTCGTTCACCACCCTAAAACCGAACTCTCGGAACAAACAATTGATGACGCACTGATTGTTTTGGCTTCAAACTGGCAACTTAAGAAGCTAATTAATCCACTAATAATTGCACCCGAAGGCGAATACACAACGCACAAGACACAAATCAACGTTAATTAGCCATGCACAACAAATGAGCGCCTCGAAATTCACGGCTGAATAAGCACGATTTATTCGGTCGCAGGCAGTGCATACGACAGGTGGCCTTCGCGTGCCACTGCTCTGCTGCCTATTTTTATAGCGAAATTTTTGTGCGCACAGTTACTGTTAGAATTGCAATAAATAAACAACACTTGCTTAACAACAGCTGCAGCTGGACAATTGACAGACGTCAACAAAAACAATTGCCGCATAAATGATAAGAGCGCACTTAACACACCCACACAAATACACTCTCGCTCTTTGGCTCGCGCACGCTCTGCTCTCTCAGCATTTTTGTATTGGCATTTTTGCTGCCCCTACACTTGTTCAGCGTTAAATACTTATTCTATTTCTTTGTGCACTAATTCCTTCTTTAATGCACTTTTCATTGGGCAACTGCCGTAGTTAGAGCTATTAAACACAATTCACACAATTTTCGTAGTTAATTAAAAGGATTTACTAGTTGTAATGTGCAGGGATAAGCCAGCGCTAGGATTTGCAACTTTTCGCGTTTGTTGTGCCAATCAGACTAGAGACGGCAGTATGATGTGCGATATATTGACTGTGACGATGAACAGTGTGACCAGCCACATTAAGAGAGAATATACCAATAAAGTTACCCGCAAATGGGCGCGAAAAAATAGTTAATTCAAAAAACAATCTAACGACATTTGTACATCTACAACTTATATTAAAATATCTAAATAACTCTCTATATATTTGTTAATATATGGGTTAAGCGTTAAGCTTAAACTATAGTTATTTTAAAAGTCCAGGCGTAATCGAGGCCACGCTTATCAATATGATGTTTGGGTGGAAATAGGATGTGCAATTTGTTGTGGTTTGCCGTCCACTGTAAAAACCAAAGTTGGCTAAGATTAGAAAATAAAATCGAGGGTTTAGTAAGCTACTCACGGCTATCTTCGTGTCTTCCATGCCCAGCATAGTAATCTGGGTGGTCGCCTTGTTTAAGACATCGCTATCCATGCCCAAGTCTAGGCCCGTGAGCAAAACATTGCGAAAGACATTGATTTCCTTGCCAAGCGGATATATGTCCAGCTCGTTTGTGTCGTACGGATATTCCAGTACAAATGCATAGATGACGGTGTTGACATCATCCGACTCCTTGCCCCGGGTGTACCACACGTGCGGCGTCTGGGTATCGTTCTGATAGATCCACGGCGTGCTGCCATAGATGCCCGCCCCATTGACCTTCAGCCAGCGGCCCATGTCCCGCAGTCGCTCCTCGAAAATGGGCAATATGGTGCCGTATTTGGTGGGACCCACATTGATCAGGACATTGCCGTTGCAGCTGACCGTGCTCACAATTTCTGCAATTCCAATTTCAATAAAAGTAGCTTGAATAAATAAAATATAAGTGTTGTGTATACCCCTTATGACATCTTTGGAGCTCATGAAATCCGACAGGGTGACATCGAAGCGCTGACCCCAGCTGGTGCGATCCAGGGTGAATGCGTTCTCCCATTTGTGGGCCTGCAGCACGCCCGGATTGAAGCGATCCGCACAATTGTAAAAGTCGCCGTGCAAGCAGGCGGTGCCAAAGCCCCAGCGATCATTGGTCACCACAGTCTCCCGCACGGGACTGTCATTGTAGAGCCAGGCGATGAACTCCTCCGATTTCCAGTACTTGGCCGGCGCCTCCCAATCGCCGTCCGACCAAATGATATCCGGCAAATACTCCTGCACCAGCTCCATCTGCTCGGGTCGCACCTTGTAGTCCACGAAGTGCTGCTGCAGCAGCAGATGCAGCTTGTCATCGATCCACAATCGATTGAACCACTCGAACAGCGAGTAATACAGCCCAAATCGAAGATCCGTAACGCTGCGCACCGCCGCCGCCAGCTCCTCTTTGGAGAATATACTAGAGAGTCAGAGAGAGAGAGTTTACAGAGACAGAGCTGACCTACTGATTATATCGCGTTTGGGTCCCACATCCATTGCGTTCCAGCCGAAGCTCTGCTTCGAGGGCCACAGCGTGTAGCCGTCGTGATGCTTGCTGGTCAGCACGACATACCTACGGACAGATATATCTGTTATTGAAACTGAAAGATCGGGCCATTGGGGCTTACCTGGCGCCGCTATCTCGAAAGAGCAGGGCCCACTGCGTGGCATTGAAGAGCTCCGCCGTGAACTGATCCGCGAATTGCTGATAGGTGAAGTCGGGCTTGTAGTTGCGCTGCATGAAGCGTATATAGTCGGGATTGCGCAGATCTGCAACGAATCGTTGTTTTCTATATATATATCTCTCTCTCTATCTCTCTCTCTCGCTCACCCACTTATCCAGTTGGTCCAGAACCATTCGGAGCCAAAGCTCGGCACCGAGTACACGCCGTAGTGCAGAAAGATGCCCACCTTAGCCTCGTCGTACCAGCGGGGCAGCGGTCGCTGGTCCAGACTCGCCCAGTTCGGCTCGTACCTGGTGCGATGACCCGGCGGCGACTGCCCCCCGGCGCCATGGACTGCACAAGCCACGAGCACAGCGAGTGCCTGCAGCCCCCTGCGCTCCATTCTAGTTGTTATCAAGAGTCAACTGAGAGTCAACTGTGCCGTTCCCCAATTTTATTTGGCTCCGCTTCGCTTCGACGGCAGCGTCCAACTGAACTGAGCGCGGCGAACGAATGCGATCTGCACTTCCGTCAATCTGAACTGAATTCAACAGGGCAACAGCGACTATGTATGTCGAACTTTTAAGTGATAAGATATAAAAATGACCACACAAAGTTTCTATAACTTAGCAGAGCTCTCTGCTAAGCGAGAACTCTTTGATTAGAATCAATTAACTTTTTCCATTTAAACTAGTCGATTATTATGTCCGCAAGGGTATTTACAGTTCGTCATGGCCAAACCTGTTGTATGCTTGTATTTACGACTGGAACTGGAACTGACAGGCATACACACACACACACAGCTGTATGCATACGTGCATGCATATACACACACACACACGTAGTTGTATTTTATTAAATTAACGATAATATAACTTTTACATATATATATATATATATATACGTGTGTGTGTGTGTGTAGCTCCAAGACTATTTAGATTCGCGGGAGAGCTGGAGCTGGCCGATGTTCTGATTGGAAAACATAGGTTAACCTACAAATATCTATATACATGTACATACATGTGTACACATATATTATAATATTGACTTAATTAGTTAATTAGATTTTGATTTTCTTTCATTTAAGTTGTTCAAATACCTTTGCCGACATATAGCGCATGTAGGGCAGCTATATATATTCTAGTATAATATGCATTGCCCGGCCTTGCCCGTGGAATGTTTTGTTTGTTTTATATATATATGGAAAGTGCATATCACAATTTTTTTGGTTAGGGCTTAAGTTTTGGTAAGAATATATATATAAGAATATATATATAAGAATATATATAAATATTCTTACCAAAACTTAAAACTTCACCAAAAAAATGTTGATATGCACTTTCCAACGAGGAATTTTAGATTTGGCGAAAAATGTAAAACACGTCCCAAATTATTATACCCTGAACCCATTAAAAATGGGTATAAGGGTATATAGTATTTGTGCAAAATCCAAATGTATGTAACAGGCTGAAGGAAGCATCTCCGACCCCATAAAGTATATATATTCTTGATCAGCATCAATAGCCGAGGCGATCTAGCCATGTCTGTCTGTCTGTCCGTCGCTCGGTAAGTGTGAACGCAAGGATGTCAGAATATAAGAACTTGAAAATTGAAATTTGGAATGTAGGTCGTCCTATTGAACTCCTGTTTTTTAAGAAATTATATACATGTATCAAGTATCATTCATTTGATAGCTATCACCACCTTTCCGCTACTACCTCATAGCTACAAATGAAGTTAATAGCCCAGTTTATGCTGCACCCCAATTTTAAATGCAATCAACTTCTTGAGAATATATAAATATTCTATAGCAAAATAAGATCTACTGTTGAAAATCAAGATCGGTTAAGAAACACAAAAGTTATTAAAGACAACGTGTTTTGGCTGGCCACGAGTTTGGAGCAGCAAGCGCAAATTGCAATAATTTCTGTACACACATCCAATTCACGCGCGTCTTAATTGAATTCTATCAACAGTATTGAAGTTGCGTTTGTATTGTTGTATTGTTTTCTGTGCTGCTATTTAAATCCGTTTTTTTGTCTTTAATACTGAATTATTGGTGTGGCTGTTGAGTAAAAGCGGCGGGAAGTTGTGACGTATGTTGCGAATTTTTTATTTTTATTACTATTACAACAAACGACAAACAACAAACTCATTTATTTAGTTCTATATATAAAGGCGGATCTATGGAGTCCTTGCAGTTGTCTCTCAGTAGCCTGTACACGCCCGTGGAAAATTGAAATCTATCAATCTTGAGCTCCGCTTCTATTTAAAAACAAGTTTTAAGTGCATTGAATAAAGAATCAACTGTTGTAATCAACGGCGAATCTTCAAGCTGAAAAATAAACATTCATTTACCTTTGACCCGCATGCGGGTGGAATTTCTCGACACTCTTAACGTGCACCTTTAACACATAAGGTAACTACAGTGAAAATCTCAGCTTGCTAGTTTTTACGGTTTTGGCTTTGCGTTTTTATTACCAATCAGTCAGTCAGTCATTCAGTCAGTCAGTGAGTCTGTCAGGAGAAAGAGCTATATATATAGAGATTTTTGCAAACCAGTTAACTCCGACATATTAATATGACAGACATAGCTATATCCACTTGACTGTTTTATACGGATCGCGAATAAGTATCTTTTATGCTTTCAGAGATGTCTTTTTTTATGCCTTACACCTTACAATATTGTAATACTCACTGCATAGCACTGCATAATACTCACTGCAACTTATTCCTCCATATATTCTACTTTTAAAATATTCAAAAATTAAATAAAACATTTACAAACATAAACTGGCATTAAGGAATATCAAAAATCTTAGCAATAATACACATAACGTTTTTTTAATTGAACATAACAGTTTATTTCATTATCATTTTGCATTTTATATTTTTCGTTTTGTAGACCTTTTTTTTGTTTTATTTTCTCTTTTATCATAAAATGTGTCGTTCCGCTAAATTCCAGTTGGGAAATCGCGCAAAAACTCGTGTTTCTGTAATTTTGCGTAGCATTTCATTATTTTACCAGCATTATGCAAATCTTTCACAACATTTGAACGAATTTAATGAATAGTTCATATTTTCTCAACGCATCTAAAATTGTTATTGAATAGTTTTAGCTAAAGCCTGGACTGTTCAGTGAGCTTCAAATGTCTAGGTTCAACTACGGCTAGAAAGAAGATGCCCCATCTAATGCACATAAATCATATCACACACACACACACATGTACACTCACACACTCACTCATACACATACACATACACAAGCAAGAACCTAGTATACACTGAACATTATTTTATTTGTATTATTTTTTTAAATTTAGTTTTGTTTCGTTTTGTTTTTGTAGTTTAAAGTAAATTAGCTTCATTGCCTTCGGTAATTCAAGTCGATTTCTTGTTCTTTCGTAACTCTCAGCACGTTTTTCAACACTGTTATTTCAATTTTTGTTATTCTTAAAATCTGGTGCAACATTCTCTGTGCGCGCGGGTTACATGAGACGTGAAATATCTGGTGCATGCCTATTCGAAGTAGAAGAGAAATACGAGTTAAGAGTGTGTGTGTGTTTTTTGAAGATTTGCGACAATTAGATATAGATATACTCTAGGAATACTCTACAAGTTCAGGTGCTCATCAGTTGCCGTTAAAGAATTCGCAAAATGTTGCTTATATAGCCAAAGCTAAGCGAAGATTTTACAAATTTTAGTGGTTCTGGGAAACAGGAAAGGAACCAAAGCAAAAAGTTGAGATAAGAGCTAAAAAAAGAATGAATGGAACATGTGCTATCAGCGCCAAAAATTTGCTTAAAGTACTTCATCATAAAATGATTTAAATGTGCATGAACACTAAAGTAAATCGTTCGTCTTATGATAACAATAATAAGTATTTATTACAAGTAGGAAAGGAACTACAAGCGTGGCATTTTAGATTTCGACTATTCAAGCTGAAGGTCAAATATTCTATTAAGATTACGAAAGGAAACGAAATTCATAGTTGAATATAAGTTTAAATATGTGTGTGTTTTTAGGGCTATGCACATTTAAATATTTATTGAGGTATATTAACATGTTTTACTCTAAGATAACTCTAAGAAATCTGCCTTGCAATTAATACTCTTACGATTTCGTATGCACAGGAAACAGAGCTAAATACAAATTAAGTAATACACAATTAGGTTGAAGGACTTGACAGTTGGGTGAGATTGTTAAAGCTAACAGTGTGACCGTGCGTCAATTAATTTGCGTGCGATTTCTTTCTCTTATGTGTTCTCTTAACATTTTTACAATTTTGTTTTGTTTTGTTTTTTATTATAACTATAGTTTATCAACTTGTTGTTTTGTTCGTTTTATGAACTAATTTGCCTGTATTTGCCTTTAGGCTATGCCTTTTAACTGTCATTTCTGTGATTCTGGGCTTCTCAGGGCGTGGGGCGTGGTGCTTGTGGCTGTTACATATAAAGCTTATTAAGCATGTAGCAGGAGACCAACCGCTCTCTCGCACTCGCACTCGCAATCGCTCTCATCTCTCTCTCTCTGTCGCTCTCTAGGTCTAAGCTTGCAGCTCTCTTTCTATACATATCAACTCCTAGAATGAACGCGCGTGTGTGTGTGTGCTTCTGTGTGTGTGTGTGTGTGTGCACTATGGAACTACGCAACTGTCGAACTGCAATCGACTATCGACTATCGATTATCGATAATTGTGTTTTACAATTGTTCATGTTTTTTTTGTTTTTTGTTTGTTTTATTTTTACAATATTTTCAACTTTAGGATCATAGAAGTAATAACATTAAATAACATTTTTGCGTAATTCTAGTATTTCTAATGTTTTTTGTTTGTTTGTTTGTTTTTGTTGTTGCTGCTGCTGCTGCTGCTGCTGCTGTTGCTGCTGTCACACTATGTTGTTGCTGTTGTGTTGCTGTTGCTGTTGCCACCGCCGCCCCCCGCAGATGCTGATGCGCCCGCTGCATTGCACTGTATGAGGCCACTGTGCTGCGTTGTGGGCGACGCCCCAACCCCCGCACCCGCCCCCGCCCCCGCTGCCGCCTGCTGCTGCAGGTGGTGCAGATGGGTGTGCGGATGATGATGGTGATGGTGATGGGTGTGATGATGGTGATGATGGTTCAAGTGATTCAAATTGTGATTGTTGCTGTTATTGTTGCTAAAATTTAAATGTATTGCGCCATTTGTTGCCCCATTCGGTGGCAACGTGTTGGCGCCGGCAGCGGCAGCAGCATCTGTGCCAGCAGCATGAGGAGGAACTGCCGAGGTGCAGTAGCGCGTTGTATCACCAAATTCGCCGCTGGTTAAATCACCCAAAATGCCACCCAACAGGCCGCCGGTGCCGGGCGGCTTGCCGGCCGCGCCCGCCTCCGGCTGCGTGCAGATGGGCGGCGCGGCAGCATCGCCATCAATGAGAGACGACGCCGGCGACGCAGCTGATGTGCCGCAGATGCTTTGTGAATTGACATGCAGCGCCTCGCCGGAGGAATTGCTGTTGCTGTTGCTGTGCTGCTGCTGGTGCTGCTGCTGCTGCTCACAGTTGGCGGCAGAGACCGAAGCGGTTGCGGTTGCGGAGACGGAGGTTGAGCCGGATTCGGCTAGCGAGTCGTGGCCGCAGACGCTGTTGTCGTCGGTTAGACGGAGCGCCACCTCCAGATCGCGCAGCACGTCCGTCTCCTTCTCGTCGATCAGATTGAAGCGGCGATGCAGGGCCGTGAGGTGCATGAAAGTCAAGTTTAAATGGGTGTGCAAGCCGAGCAGCGCGATTTCTCTGAAATGCGCCGCATACAGATGCGCTATCACATGAAATTGCAAGCGTAAAATCTTCCGGGCGATTGACTCGAACGAGCCGGGAAACTCGTTCGCGTATTTGGTTGGAAATATCGATTCGTCGCTGACCGTTTTCTGCGTAAAGGTCATCACATAGTCGATGTATTGCGGTGCCGCGACCCGCGTCTTCTTGCCCTTCTCATCGAACCATAAGTACGTTCTGTAAATGCCACGTTTTAATTTAACATATTCTCATCTGTTGGATTTATGTCGATTTATGCTCACCTGTTGCCCGGTCCGGTCATGTCTGCGCAACCGGATTGTGTACAAAATTCACTAATAGTTCCGTAGACCAAATTCACGTGCTCGAAGAGAGCCAGAGCTGTAAGATAATATTCGAATATGCCATAAGTAAGGGTATTAATGAGTTGAAAGAGAAGATACAAGATGATGTTACTCGGCTTTGCCTGAGCCTAACATATTCTAAGCAAAGTGATCTCTATTTCACCTATTTTCCATCTAGATTTTAAAGTTCTGTCAAAATCAGTGGAACACGCCTCTCTAAAAATATGCTTATAGCTATCTTCTTTTCAAATTCATCCCGATTTCACCTATTTTCCACCTTAACGTTAAAAATTAGTCTTAATACGTAAACACGTCTCTTATGAGCTCTAAAAACAAGTTTACATACTAGTTAACAGTATTTAAGTTTATCTTTAGTTCACCTAATTTCCACCTAGATGTTTTTACAGCCGTTTTCCATCAAATTCACCTTTTTTTCACCTATTGTGAAATAGAATATAGTGAAACAAATCTCTTAAGAATTTTTATACATATTTCTAAATAAATTTTTATAACTATTTTAGTTACAAATTAATATATATTCCTCCTATTTTCCGCCTATATGTTAAAATTCAGTCAAAATCAGTGAAACACCTCTAATACATCACATTTATCTTTATTTCACCTATTTGCAAACTAAATGTTAAAAGTCAATGTCTTTAACAATTAGTTTACAGCCATCTTATATTCGATAGGATATTCATTTCACTTATTTTCCACCTAGCTGTTAAATCCGTCAAAATCAACAAATCACATTTCTTAAGAACTATTTATTTAGGTCTTTAAAAATTAGTTTGCAGAAAAGTCCATCTACTTTTTCCCCCAAGGAAATACAATCATGCTGTTAAACTATAAGCTGCACATTTAAAATATCTACATGAAAGAACTGGAATATTATTAAAGCCTAAAGGACCTAATGACGACGAATAAAACTAAGCCGCACAGAAAATTAATTGTTTCACAATATAATTCACAAATAGTCCATGTAGAGAGATATTAAATAGCCTGCCTCAATCGTATTGTTAAGCCGTGCCTAATCACAAATCAGAGTTTACATTCATCTTGTACACTTCTCCGGCCGCCCTCTCTCCCTCTCTCTTTTCTTCGTCTTATAGCAGTGACTGATCTGCTTGGAAAAGTGTTGAAAAAGTGGCATTGAAACAGCTGCTCGGACAGCTCGTCAAAGTGTTATCTGGTGTGAGACGCATTGTCGTGTCGTTTATAAGGTCAATGTTAACGCAATATTGGCACAAGTGTGCCTCAGATAAAGTAAAAGGGCAAACGACGGTCGACACGCGGAGTGGGGGGAGGGGGAGGGGCAAAAATTATATTACGTCAGGCGAAATTGCATTATGCGCTGTACAAAGAGATCCGGCGACGACGGGAAGTCAAGGCAAATGAAATCATTTTTAATGGATAACGGGGTGAGGTATATACACACACACACACACAGATACACACACATACATAAATATATGCAAGTATCTGAAGTCATCTTGTGGCTTTTATCGCGCGACCTCACGACCCGCCCACAGCTGGTGGCCTTTGCAGTTGATTATTAGGAAAATTCAATATCTGTGCAGATAAAAGATGCAGAAAAGCCGAGCAGACGAGCGGAGTGGGGGAGAGGGAGCGGGGGCGGGGCTACATTACAATTTGCTGAAACACTGCCAATTATTTACAAGCCATTTTAAAAGGCTGCAAGGCACAGAGAAGGCGCGTTAATTTCTATTTGCGTACCTATCATTATTCAAGAGATTAACACAAGATGATGTAATATCCGACGACTAATTGCCCAGAGAACAACACGAAATCGAAAGATAATAAAGACAAAGACAACGATGATGATTCTGATGATGATGTAGATAATCGTGGAATGATGTCAGACAGTATCCAAATTAAAATATTGAAACCCTGCCGAGGGACTAACTAACTAACTAACTGCAGCTGCAAAAAGTAGCTGTTGCCAATCCGGCGTATTAATTAGAACTAGGTCAGATTAAGGGGCGACTGTATTTTGTATGTTTTAATTATATGCCAAAGGAACTTCGCCTAGTTTCAGATTAAGGGTTTTCCTTTCACGAGCCAAAGGAACTTAGCCTAGATTTAGATAAAGGGTTTTCCTTTTACAATTGATCCGAAAAGCCAATAAGTTCTTATTTCCTAGTTTACAATTCACAAGGCTTTTGCAAAAGTTTTGAAAAGCAGAAAGTAATGAAATTTAAACCCTTTGCTCGACTCTAGAACAGGCCAATGCATTGCGGTTCCTTAACTTGTTGAGAATTACAAGCACGAAGCAACGAAACAAGCAAGGAGCACAGACGAAAAGAAACTCTCCGTATGTTATAACGAGGCAGAAACGTCTCGATCCGGACCCCGATTATATACTCTAACGTAAGGTAGGTCTTGAATGCGTTATATAATTCGAGTCTCTCAACTCAAGAACAAGGTTCAAATTTGTCGCGGTTTATAGCCCTCGATAATCTATTCCAACGAAAAGTAATATTATGACGCTAGCTATTCATGTGTATTCATGTTATTTGGCGTCTGACCTATGCCAATCTAAACTTGATTATAGTAGAATACGCTTAATTAAATACTTTAAGCTAGGCCGACTCCATTTAGCCCTGTCTGGATATATAGTCGCAAAGATCTCAAATACTTTAGGAGGTAGGCACTTGAAATTCTAAACGTAGGTTCACGTAGAGCTCGACCTTATATGAAATAATTGACAGCTAGCCGCATTTACCTGTTTTTGGACCATATCTCGAAGTCTTATAAGACCTAGAAATATTAAACTTGGGACGTATATCTCAGAGCAAGAACATTTAACTGTATGCATGGTTTACTACGTTTTCTCTGCTTGAGATCTTCAGATCTCTCTTTAATAAGCTGTTTATTTTTGCTATTCTATGGGAATTGCAAATCCATAATATTATAGAGGCACACTCCAGCTTCCTCCTGCTAATTGCCAATCGGCACGTACTTAGCCCAGTTAGCTGAATCAGCCTGTAGAGCAACGAGATACTCGCCGTGTGGCCTATAAGTCACGAGGCCCAAATAGCGGCTGGTCTATCAAATTCCCGATCATTAATAAGCGCAACAACAGCAACAAAACAAAAAGTGTAATAACAATTCATAGATGAATGCGAAAACAATTCGAATAAATCAAAACACGCATATCACGTGAGAAGTATAATCAAAAAGCAAGTAGGTGTATTCCAACGAAGAGTGTTCGACTAGTATATACCCTGTACTCTAGACAAAGCATAAAAAAAGGAAGTTGATATACTTTATCTATAAATGATATATGAGGGGAGGTACACATCGAACTTGTTTAACTTTTCAAGTTATCGCTTTCGTTCCTTTTGGAAATGAGAGAGATTTTGAACTTCTTGCTTAACGATTCGAAGAAAACTGGAGAGGGTTATTATAAGTTGGATATACACGAACAACATCTGTGCTAGACTCGAGTCTACATCCCAAATTGTGGGTCTCTAACTTTTAAAGTTCCTCAGAAAAAACCGATACGGCTTCGCCTTGTCCAATAATTTGTCGACTTGTAGAGACTGCCCCACATTTGGCGATTCACATAAATAACAGGGTATACGATGAGCAGAGCTATTCAATTTTGTACTGTACTTACTGTGTGAGGCTAGCCATTCATTGTAGTCCAAGCCAGCTGGAAGATCGACAAGGGCTTTGAGATCAGCTTCAGGTAGTTTGCGTTCCAGGACGCTCTCCTCCAAATACAATTTGGTATCTGTTGAGTTTTGATCGCCATCGCGCTCCTTGCGACGCGCTTTGCTGCAATTAGAAGATGGAGTAGAACAAGCAATTAGTTACATCGATTAGTTATTAGATAGATACTAATAGATGTGGTAATAAGGCCTATTGATCGAGTTCTCACCCAGCTACGCATAGAAATGTGTCAACCGAATCCTGCGCATAGCGATACAGGGTGCCTATGGTGTCACCAATTTTAGAGGGTATCGTTGTCACTTGCCACATAAATCGCGCCGTTCGCAACAGACATTTAATCACAAGGGACGAGGGATTTGATGCGCTGGATGTGGCGTTATATGTGCTCGACTTTTCGCATTTGCTAACTATATAGGGCTCTGATATGGACTCTAATTTTAGGGCTGTTGTTGTTGTCGTTGTTGTTGCTGTTAATATTGTTAAACTTGTTGTTGTTGTTGTTGTTGTTGTTGGTAGCACCTTGCTGTTTGGCGTTTCTTTCATTTTTTGGTATTATTCACATAGCTTTGGTCATTTTTGTTGTTGCTCTTCTTAGGTCTTGGTTTCTGTCTGCGTACAAAACGTTTGCTTATAAAACCGAGACCGCGACCGTAACCGCACCAGACCCCGCCCCGCACACCCGCACACCCACGCACACACGTACACACGCACACACGCACACCTTCTTATCGGCCAACGGTAGCCCTGAGCAGTGCCCAACAAAAAAGTCCAAGTCCAAGCGACAATCGACCGACACTAACCGTTCACGTCGACACAATGCCACTGAAACCCCGTCTGTCCCTGGCTGGGGTTATACACATGCATATATATATTTATATATATATATATATATAGATACTTAATATATATATATATAGCGAGTTCTTGATAGCGCTCCGCTCTCTTTCTCTGACTCTCCGTCCCCCTCTCTCGGCTCTCGGCCGCGCTCTCTGCGGATCGCACACAGAAATCGCGCGCCGTCAAAAGCTCAACTGGCATTTTCAGGCTTTAGGGCTGCAAAATATTTTGGTATATGCGATATGCTCGTTTCTAACTTGGAATTACTAAAAGGTCGCAGCACAAAAGCTCAGTCAATATTCAACATGTTTTGCTCTAAGATAATGTACAAAAACTTCCTAAATTTCAAAAAGTTTAAAAATATTTCTAATAATTAAAACTTAACAAATTGAACGCTTCTTTCAAAACGTTTACGAATGCAATACAAAGGGAAATGAAATACATGCTCTCTCTCTCTCTCTCTCACTCTCACTCTCGCTCTCTGAGCCAAATATGAGAAGAAGAAGCTGAAATATTAAAAGTATTTAATTCTAGTTACTTTTATGTTTAAAACAGAGCATTTTATATGTGCGAAGAGAAGCGTTTATGAATCTAATGCTCTCTCTCAAAGCAATTAAAGGCTGGAGAGAGCGAATGGGCATAGAAAAAATGTATTCAAAATGTTTCTTCAAGAAACCTTCATACCTTGGAAGAAGTAAAAGCTAAAGAAAATCTTTAAATCTTTTACTATGAATAATAACAAAATACAGAGTATCATGAAAAGGGAATAAACACTAAAGACTCGGCATTATCAAGTCAATTTAGAGAACAAAATACTATTCTCCACCTTAATCAGCGTTAGATATGTAATTATGTAATACATCATAATCATACCTAAAGTAGCTTACTAAAATGTGCTCTTGCCTTGAGTTTTAATAGTATTTTTGAGATAACACATCCAAAGCGAACCGGGTAACGCTTTCTAAGCCCGCACAATCCAGCGTAGAACCTAGTCTAAAGTGAAGCCCTTATCAAGCTGCTAAAATCAACAACAAAACAAAAGTTTTCAATTCATTTGCATTTGTTGTTGTTACAAAACTCATAAAGTGCGTGGCTCCAGAGCTGCTCCATCTGCTCCATTTGAATAATTACCGCCCCGAGTCGCGATCTTTGAGCATAAAACAAATAAGCCCACATATGATTTCAGAGCCAACGATTCAACGAAGCGTATTGACCAAATAGACGCGATAAGAGCCCAGCTCTAGGGTTCATATACTGTCTGTCTATTTGGGTGTGGGGAGCATTATTATTTGCTCGGGCAAACGTAAACAGGTGACTCGACAATCGCCGCCTCCGTTCAGAGGCCCACTCCATTGTCTGTGCTGGGGTGATAATGAAAATTGTGCCTGCTGCTCACCCACAATTGGCGCACAGGCGACCCCATTGTCAATTTTCAATAGCAAGAAAAACAAAGCGGCCAAACGGGGCAAACGGGGCAAAACAAAATGAACAAATAAGTAAATAAATAAATAAAATATTCATGAACAAGGTCGCACTCTGATAATATCATTGCCAAAGCGCACCCTCGAAAGCTCCACCCGAGTAGCGCAGCCCTCACACGACATTCCAATTTTCAATTTTCAATTTCCAATTTCAATTTGCAGCCAACAAATTGCGTGTCAGAGGAGCTTAAAAGGTCGAATCTTAATTTGAATGCACCTCTCGAAGGGGGGCGGGGCAGCCAAGGCGTTGCAAGGGGTGAGTCACAATAAAAACACTTTGCTCAAATTAAGGCTACGATATCGGAGCAGGAAGAAGAGATTATCTTTAATCTAAATATCAAATGTCAATTATCGATTGTGATTGGGTTTGCATAACTATCGATACACAAGTCATATCGATTGTAGTCGAATAATCGAATTTGTAAAGCATAAATAATTACTTATCAATAACTCACAAGAATCCTTTAGAAATTATGAAATGATGACCATTAAGTAAAAATATAATTTAAAACAATGCATTAAAATTTAAGAAAAAATGTAAGCTAAAAATATTGATTTTCTATTGACGATATAAATATAGAATTAAACAAGAGGTTCTAGTCGGGAGCTCCCGACTAGGGGATACCCAGAGACCTCTTCTTCCAACATCTAGCTCTTATTATTTACCAAAATTGCCCAAAAAACAGGATATCGATATCGTTTTTATCGATTGCTTGGAAACGGAATAAGTTATCGGTTATCGGAAACAAACTCGATCTGCGCAGGCACTGGGAACACGTACATCTAAAATTTCAAGTCTCTAGCTCTTATAGGTTCTGAGATCCTTGCGTTCATACATACGGACGGACGGACGGACGGACAGACAGACAGACATGGCTAGATCGACTCAGCTGTTGATGCTGATCAAGAATATATATACTTTATGGGGTCGGAGAAGCTTCCTTCTGCCTGTTACATACATTTGGATTTCGCACAAATACAATATACCCTTATACCCATTTTTTATGGGTTCAGGGTATAATGATCTTATAACGAGAAGCAGCAAAAGCAAATGAACTTTCCTATTTGCAATCTATCAACAGTTCAATAAAGGTCAAATAAGGCCTGATGCATGCCCTTTGTTTATTTATGTTGAGTTCCCGATCTACTAATAATCGCTTAAAATCGGCAAAATATTGAACACACAAGCTTCCGAATTATTGCCGTACTTCAGTCTATTTACGTCCGTTCTGGGGCTGAGTGCAGTTGAGATTCGCATTTCGCAGTTCCAAAATCAAAGTGCTATCAAAATGAAATGTCTTATAATTATATATATTATCTTTATAAGCCTAATGCTGATCGTAGCTGAAGCAGAGGCTAACGAAAATGAGGTAAAAACAGATTATTTATCAATGTTTGTGTGCACTGCAGAATATAATTCATACTGCTTTTTATTAGTCTTGTGTGGCAACCAGAATAGCAGAGGAACAATGTGGAGAGCACACCTATAAGGCTGTGAGACCTTTATTAAAGTATATTCATCAGATAAAGGAGGAAATTGAAAACAATAACAACAAGGTTGAAACCAAAGACAGAGAAATCAAGCAACTGCAGGAGGAACTTAACCAAAATAATAAACAGGTCATCGAGGAACTGAGAGCTCAGAACGAATTCTACAAGCAGAGTATCAAAGAGCTAACAAGCAACGTTTTGTCAATAAAAGAGGAAATTGGTAAACTTATTTCCAATTCCTTGAAAGTCCAGGACTATGAAGAGCAGCTGAAGAAACAAAAGAAGTCAATTGATCAACAGGCCCAACAAATATCCGAACACAAAAAGGAAATCAACAATTGTGAAAAGAAGCGTAAAAGCTGCGAAGAGAAGCCCGTTTACGGTGAATGCACCGAATTTGCTGATGCTCCGGGTATTCATAAGATTACTCGGGATCAAGAAGCTCCTTTCGATGTACTTTATGACAGTGCGACAGCAGGTCCTGGCTGGACGGTTATCCAGCAGCGAATCAACGGCAAGGAGGATTTCTACAGGAATTGGACCACATACCGTGAAGGCTTTGGTTCCTTTGACGGTGACTTCTTCCTCGGCCTGGAGAGGATTCATCGCTTGATGCGTGCCCAGCCTCATGAGCTCTACATATATATGGTAGGATTTGATGGAGACATCAGATACAGAAAATACGATCAATTTGCCATTTCTGGCGAGAAGGACCAATACACTTTGATCACCTTGGGTAAATCTGTGGGTAATGCAACAGCTGATCGCCTGCAATATCACAAAAATCAAAAATTCACCACATTCGATCGTGACAATGACAATTATAATTCTGGCAACTGCGCAAGCGAAAACAAATTTGGAGGTGGCTGGTGGTACGATTTTTGTGCACACAGGTATTGATCGCCACAGCTTTGTGAAAAAAATTTAAATGCAATTAATTTTTATATTGTTTTCTTTTTTTTTTTTAGCAATTTAAATGGCAAATACTATGATCAAAAGGTGCTCCACACTGATGCCATATTTTGGGATTTTTTCTTCTTCTTGAAGACAGTCAAAATGCTTATACGCCCCAAAAGCAATGGGAAAGAAAATAAAAACTAAATAAGTATAGCATTGATTTATATTAAAAAATAAGTTTTAGGTGCATCGAATAAAGAACCAAGTGATGGAATCAATGGCTTCCGCCCACGGCGAGAATCTTTAAGCTGAAGATTAAACTTTCGTTAATTAGACCCAAGAACGTGTCAAATAAACTCTCACAAAGATCTTTGAAAGCGAGTTTGAGGCCGATCGAATGGTAAACACAAATGTTTCATACAAACGTTTTTCGCGGCTTTTCCACACATGTGGGTGAAATTTTCCAAAACCCCGTATTAGCGTGCACTATCATCACATAAGGTAACTACAGTGAAACTTTTAGCTTTCTAGTCAGTCAGTCAGTCAGTCAATCAGTCAATCAGTCAATCAGTCAGTCTGTCAGTCAGTCGGTCAGACAGTCAGTCAGTCAGCCGGTCAGTCAGTCAGTCAGTCAGTCAATCAGTCAGTTAGTTAATCAGTCATTCAAACAAAGGAGAAGTTTTTCTTCCATCATTTTAAGATAAGAACTTTAAACCTTTTCTTTAATACCCTGCACTTATTGAAAATGTGTAAAGAGGGCATAATGCATTTGTGCAAATGTACGTAACAGGCAGATGGAAGCATCTCCAAGCTCATAAAGTATATATATATATATATTCCTGATCAGCATCAAAAACAGATTCGATTTATAGTAATGTCCGCGTCGATCTCAGAGCCTAGAAGAGCAAGAGACTTGGAATTTTGAATGTAGATAGTATTACCTAATTTCCGATCATCGATAGTCCAGTCGATTAAAATCGATTTCATAATAGAACATATCTTTCACTAAACTTGACACTTTTTAGTAATCCCATTTGGTGGAATAAGAGTCCAGGGCATATTCTAGTCGGGCATTTCCGACTAGTGCAGTCTTCTTCTTGATATCATTATGATATTCTTAAATTTTCACAAACTCAAACCAAAAATGTGTCACGCCTGTTTTTTTATTTTCAATAGAGAGTTGTTATGGCTTATTATCACAAAAGTCATCGTGAACATGTTTTGTTCTGGATATTATATTCTTATCACAGTTCCCTGACCTATTAAGAAGAACGAAGGTATTTTTAAGCATGATGAAATCGAATTGATCGCAAGACATTTTATGGTTTACATTAAGTAAATCACTTGCAAATAGTTAAAAGTATATTATTAATTAAATGAAATGCACTTCGGTCAGGATTTATAAATTGTTTGCACTAATCTATCGATTGTTCTTATAGCAGGGCTTATCAGAAGCCGATAGAAAAAGGTGTATACCTTAATATAAAACACAAGAAAGAACTTTCATAAATTTTATTTAATTTATAGAGACCTCGAATCGTTGGGGCAGAGCAGTCCGCAAATAAATTGGCACGTTAGGCTTTTATGTCGCATTTCGATGTCGCAATCGCCAGAGACTAAAAGTCGCAAAAGCCGAAAGCGAACCGAAACACGCGAAACACGCGAACGTCGCACCAAATGCCGAAAGGTGCATAAAAACTAGCGATAAATAAACACAATTTTGAACCCATTATTTCCGGATAGGCCGCCAAAAGCCGACTAACTAACGCCAACAGAGCCCCGACATGATAAAGCGAACTTTGGGGCGCACAAAATTAGCGATTTCTCGAAGCGAACCGCATCGAATCGGAAATTCTGAAACTCAAGAGTCTGTCCTACAATTCAATATTCATTGGACATGTGGCAACACTTTTTGTTTTTTCTGTTACCATATGGCCATATGCATTTGCTCACACACCTCCGGTTGGCTATGCCACCTCCATTAGCTGGAGGTAGCTACCTCTCCCCCCCCCCCCCCCCTCAGGCCAACAGAATTCGAAATACGTAGCCCGACATGACCCTGAGCCCACATGTCGCTTCTGCCTCCAAACCACCCCACCCCACCCCACCATCCTTTCTTGCCAGTCATTCGATAAGTGCATTTGGTTCCCCACCTCACCTTACCCCCCCCCCCCCCCCCCCCCCCCCACGTGCACTGTTTACTGAAAATTATTTCAATATACGATTGATCCATCAATTTAAAAAGCAGACCGAAGCCTGTTGCCACATAGATAGCTAGACAAATGGTTGCACCTACGATAATAACAAATATGAAAATACGATAATTTGTTAGAAATAAGAATAAAGAAAATTCGCAATTATCGATATGCATGGAATTGAAGTATATAGAAGAGTAAAGGGATTTACTTTAATTCACTTAAAGGAAACTAGCTGTAAACAATCTAGAGTAGTCGAATCGGAAGTGCCCGACTTGGGTATACTCCGCAATAGCCGTAAAATGAAAGATCAAGTATTTGTATATACCATTCTAGAAGCTACATGTCACGCTTGGCTTTAAAACCCAAGAGATTTGCTCAAAGCAACAAGTTTTCGATATCGATTTTTATCGATTGCTTAAAAATGGAACAAGTTTTCGATTGTTGGAAACAAACTCTTACTGTGTGGCCACTAAGAGCATCTACGTTCCAATACTTCGAGCCACTGCTCTTATAGGTGCTGAGATCGACTTGATCACAAATCGACTCGACTATGGCTGCTGATCAAGAATTTATATACCTAAGGGCGTCAAAGATGATTCCTTCTGCCTGTTACATACATTTGCACAAAACCAATATAGCCTTCCGAAACATTTTCAAGGGTATTCATTAAAAAGCAGTCCAGCTACGAAGTATGGACATATTTGGCCCCAACAATTGCCTCTTTACTATATTTGATCTCGCCTTGCGACAAATTTTTGTAGGGCTTGCAATTAATATTTTGTTATTTGGAATTTAGAGATCTATTTAGTGCGAGCTTTTTGAACAGGTAACAGGATCAAATACATATATATAAAATGCTCTACTTTTGCAACTCTAAAAGCGATCACATACAAATGCCCCAATTACCATATCTGTGCCAGGTAAGCCCCATCGCAATGTTAGACAATTTATGGCCAACATATGGCAATTTATTTGAATTGATAACAGTCGGAAAATCATCATCAGTTGTAGCTGCTGTTGGGCTTAGATTATTATTTTTATGCGATTTAACAAATTTGTTTATGGTTTTTTTCTTTTTTTTGCTGATTTGCGATGATGAAATCAAATTGTGGCGGGCAAAATATGTTTATAGATTACAACGGCGCTCGGTTCAGGCGCAAATGGAAATGCAATTACGATGTCGAAAAAAACAAGAAGATATATCAGAGTAACAGTATTACCAAATATCAGAGACAATGATAAATACAACCAGCTAGTAACAAAGCAACAACAATCGAGACAATAAGGTTCCTTCTCTTGTTGTTGTTGCACGTGAACTACTATCAACAACTGAGTGTGTGTGTGTGTGTGTGTGTGTGTGTGTGTGTGTGTGTGTGTGTGTGTGTGTGTTGACAATGTTGAAAGCAATTGCGACGCATGTGTAAAAGTGGCCCACAAGGTGTTGAAATGGCAACAACAACAACAACAACAACAACAACAACAGTAGATACGAGATATTGCAGTAATAGCTGCCTCGCCTGATAAGTTAATGGCCATTAAAGCTCCACAAAATCAACTCTAGCTGACAGGGGGAGTGGCAGCGCGGAAGGGGGGGAGGTAGGGGCTTTCAACTAAATAGTAAACAGTATAAGAAACTCATTGCCCGATAAGATAGAACCAGGCCAAGCTCTTTAAAACAACTCTTCCATACATATGCACAATCCTAGGCTGGCACACTTCTAAAATAGGGGGACAAATAGTGGGAAATTGAATAAAAGCAGCAGCACGACTAGCAGATACCCTAAACACAGCGAATGCCGTTCTTTGTTAACTTCGCTGTTTATGGTCGGATCATCAGGAAATTTTCAGGAATTGAATATTGCCTGCAAAAGTGTGCACATACTTAAGCACAAGGGTCTAACTGTAAAAATGAGGTATTTTTACAACTTGGGTTGTCAAAGGTGATAGATATATATAAAATTGAAATATTACTAAACTATATCTTCCACATGAGTACCTGATTGCATATAATCAATATCAAAATCGATAGTTATCGAAATTTATCGATTTCCCGGATAAATACTTGCACCTACGATAATAACAATTATGAAGCACGAAAATTTGGTAGTAATAAAAGAAGTACAAAATAAGAATATGATAAATTAAGGAATTCACTTTTTGAACCATGAACCAAACCTTAAAGAAAACAATCTAGAGTGCTCTAGTCGGAAGTGCTCGACTGTAAAATCGATATTTATCGATTTCCCGGATATGCTCATGCTTGCATATTTATGTAAATGCAAGCTGTTCCCTCTTCCAAAGCCTTTTCCTTTTCATATTTTTTTGAATTTGATCGAACTGATGATGTAATACAGCTGGAGACAACAGAAATGTGGGCTCACGGCTTGAGTTCACCAAGCGAGTGTTTTGTGGTGCTTGTGGTGCCACACTTGAAGTAAACGTAAGCAACAAAAAAAAAAAAAAAAAAAAAGAAACGAAACGACGACCCCGATAAAAGCAATTGAGTCACAGTCATGAAAACGTGACAGAATAATGGCAGAGCATAAAAGACCCATTGATATATTCCATTCCATTCAAAGCAATATGGCTAAAAATGAAATAACTTGATGGGGCATATCGCATTACAAATGATAAAGAACTCAAGGGTCCGGCGAACATCAACTATTACTAACTCAACAATCAGAGTTCAGTCTCTATATAGGAATCAAATGATATTTCACAGCTTACAAGTTGCAACCGGTTTACGTGATTCCCACCAAAATGAGGCGACAATAGCTAATACTAACTGGCAGCAACTTTAGGTCAGCTGATCACGAATGACGTCACTTTTGACAATGACTTTCTCGATTGTAATGATTTGTTCAGTTTTAGGTTCAGTTTCATTCAACGCAACTATTGACACGAATAATTGAATAAACTCAATTTGCAATTCGCAAATGAGTCGAAAACAAAACGACGGGCACAAAAGCCGATTTTCGCGTATGCGTATAAATTATCATTCGAGCAAATCGAACGATTGCACTCTTAATTAATGACAACGATTGTCGAGTACGAAGATCGCCGGCCCCCTTAAACGATGTCAATTTGTGAGTCAATCGCCCAACGGTCGAAAGTCGGAAAATGGAATGGGAAGAGCATA